TTACCAACATCTATTTCCTGGCAAGATTGTCCTTGATCTTTTCCGTAGCGTTGCGTTAGATATGATGATGTTAATTTTGACATCTCAGTACAATACGATTGGACTTTCTGTGACAGAATTTAAACAGTCGGAGCAGTTTAAGATGCATTTCGGCATTCGAGACCGACAGTACTCAGGTATCACACTTTCAGATAGTGGCATCAAGTATGCTTTAACGCCTGAGCCATTCCGGAGGATGAGCATCGAACAGGAAGATGTTGTGAGCAGTCTGTTCTTGCTTCCCGGCGATTACACAGTGGAACAAAAGCAGCGTTTCCTTCAGTATATGTTACATTATCTGGCTGCTTTGCAGGAAAATAAGGTCGAAGTGCATGTATGAACTTCTTGGTTCCTTGTGCGCTGTTTAACCTAATAGAGACTGAATACTTCCGTCAGGCTGCTTCCTCTTTAAGAGGCAACGATAAAGGCTTTGCAGTAAACGAAATTTAGCATGCCGTAAAGATGCGCCAAGCGCCGAGTTTCATTTAAGCCCGTAGTGTACTATCTTGTGATCAGCTATTTGGGTTAATTTATTGTTTAGTTTTCAGGACTGTTATCTTAAGTGAGTACAAAGTTGTTCTTTGCTACTTTCCACCCGCCAGCACTCCCCTCTCCTTCCCAACGTTTTTGTTGAGTAGAATCAACAAAGTAAGCTTTTTGTTGTAGCCTCTATGATGGGAGATGAGGAATAAAACGTCCGAGTGGAAAACAAGCCAAAGGGTTTATCTTTGCAGCCTTATTTTTTGAACGAAGTTTTGGTGCCGTGTATGGTCAGTATGGGTCAGCTGGAAAGGCTTCATCAGCTCCTTCTCTACCGTGTTTTTCCGGACGCTAAACAACTCGTAGGCCGTTCATTCTGCATCTTTTTAAAAAAAAATTCTTAATTAATTGAGGCTCGCCACTTTTTACGTTAGTGAGTATGTCAGATGCTTGTCACAATGTTGAAAAATTATTGTATTTGCATTTTTTCTTCCCATTCAATTTCCAGTTCTTTTTATGCGTTTTTTCCATCTGTGCAGTGTGAAAACGTATATTGTCAAACGGTTGTCTGTATGTGTATGTTTGTCTGTATGTGCGTCTGTACCAAGTTTTCATCTCGAGCTACAACGGTAGAACCTTTGGCAAATTAATCTACACCCATGTGAGGGCTCCTACCGCAAAAATGAACGCTCGCGTCCACGTTGTTTTTACGTGCTGACGCCTGAAAGATTTTTTGGCGTGAAAGCGATATTAGGGATGGCGCAAATAAGAAAAACTTCAAATCCAACCTTTACGCATCCGTAAGTCTCTGTACGTACACACCAAACTTTAAATTGGCATCGCGCCAACGCTGGAATTAAGCTAAGAAGTTGTAGAGAATTGTAGTTTTGCAACGTTGCTTGTCACTCGCTGCTGTGCCAACTGAGACGTGGGATTCGACGTAGACAGTTTTGTAACTTT